TTTTTTTTTTTTTTTTTCTTTTTTTTTTTTTTTAATGGTTTTTTCTTGATTTGTATAATATATATGGCTGAAGATTGCCGATAGGCATGAAACTTTTAGTTCCATTATAAAGTTGTATTTTTCTATTTAATTACACTTTATTTATATACATATATATTGATCTATTTTGTAAAAATTATTTTTACATTATATTGATCACTCTCAAGTAAACAAGAGGATTTGTATCTCAACCAGATACAATAATAAACAACAATATATATATATATATATATATATATATATATATATATATATATATATATATATATATATATATATATATATATATATATATATATATATATATATATATATATATATATAGCCTGCAAAATTCAGCTTTTTTAATGTTATGCGTTTTTTATAAGTTATTTTCTTATATTCTGAAATTGGAAGAAAAATGGTACTTATTGCACATTGTTATATTTGGTTGCATGCCTTGTTTGTCCATGCTCAAAGTAATTTTTTTAAACAACTTGACCACGTTTTTATATAGTAAGCGTTTTAAGAATTTGCTAGTGTCAGTGATTTTTCAGGCATTAATGCCCACAACTTTTACCTTTCTCAATCTCTAACACAAATAGTCAACTTTCCAGCTAGCTTTTCAAGCAATTCAAATCACCTTCTCTACTTGACTTGTGTCTTGTTTCTGATCCTAGCAGTGCTCAGTTTCTTTACATTCACCCTTAGGTGCTTCCAGGGGCGGCTTTTGTCACTCGCCAAGTAGGATGCTAAAATGTCAGAAAAAAAAAGAAAAAAAAAGAAAAAAGGTCTGCATATTGTCATTAATAAGTAACTTTCTTATTGAATAATTTGTACTTTGTGTAACAACCAAGTTCATATACATATAATTACATATAATAGTCAATTTTATTCCTCAGTATAGCGGGTCCAATTCTGTATAATAATCAATTTACAAAAAAATATTTCTTAAAAAAAGTCCCAAGGGGGGGGGGACTACTACCAGCATGGCCCTCCCACTAAAACCCGCCATTAGGTGTTTCTTATCACAGTTTGATCTCTCTAAAACTATTATCTCATTCTTCTTCATCATCAGAATTGCTCTATCGCTGTACCTCTTACAACTACCTTAAAGCTGACTGGGAATCATTTTGTCTTCCTGCTGAAAAATGTGCTTCTTATGTAACTTGGATTCGGCTAGCATGAAATTCTTTATTTCCTCTGGACAATTCAAGTCTCACTCGTCTCCGTGGTTTTTCTCTCTTTGTGCTACTGCAATTTCTAACTGTAACCATTAGTTCCATATCTATCACCAAAACAATATATTTTAAATCTTCTGGAATAAAAGTTAATTACTTCTCTTCAATTTTAAGTTACTTATTAGTTATTTTCATAAAACCTTCTACTCCACATTTTTCATCATCTTGAGCAGTTACTTTATCATTCATTTTATCTTTTTTACTAGAACATTTGTCTTTAGAACAAATGTTATTTTATTATTCCAAGAAGCCAATGTAAAAAGGTCCTGTCTGATGTTGAGCTCTGGTATTCTCAGTTTACTAAATCTTGTATCTCACCTCAGATGTTAGGTACTAGAAACTTTTGTTTATTCTTTAGCAGTGTCATTAACTATAGTATTTCTAACATTTAATCTCTAATTCATAGGTCTGATCTTTTTACTTCTCCCCAGAATAAAGCAGATATTTGCAAAGAAATCTTATTTTAATTTGACTCTTGAATCTAATGGCCAGCTCTTCCTTCCATTGTTAAACAGAATAACCCATTGTTAAACAGAATAACCCATTGTTAAACATCTAAATCAGTCTGGATTTCTAATGCTTAAGTTAATTCTCAATTAAACACTTCTACAGTTTGCGCTTCAGATTTCCATCATAGTCTTAAAAAAGTGGTTTCCAGAACTCTCTTCAATTTGTGCTAAATTTTTAAAAAGTACTCGATAAGTGGTTCCAATTTTTCAAAACTCTAGAAAACACTTTGACCTCTCCAATTATCCTACGATTAGCCTTCACTCAGTTATTAGTTTTGAGTTTGTTAATTGAATTATCTCAAAGGTTTAGAGATTATTAAATTATTTCTTTCTAATTGTTTAAAGTTATTCTTGAAGGTCTACACTCTTCTTTATATCAAGTAACTATAAGGGTACCACAAATCTTTGCTCCTGTATTGTTTCTTATCTACAATATCGATCTTCATAAAAATTTTCTGAATTTCTAAAGTGGCTCTATTTGCTGAAAACTCAATTTTATACTCTTGTCTTGACAAAAAAACTTCACTTTTTGATTGCTTAGAACAAGCAAATTTTAATCTGATTTCTCTTCTGTAACAGCCTAAGGCTTGAAGTGGCTTATGGATTTAAATTCTGGACTTAAAATCCGCAATTTTTGTTTGGCAACAAAACTCATTTTAGTTACTGCAATTTTTGTTTGGCAACAAAACTCATTTTAGTTACTGCAAAAAAATATTGCAATGTTGGCATTCCTATATTGACGAATAACAACCCTCTTATTTTCAGACAAAGTCTAAAAGCACATTGTGAATGAAATTGTTTTAAGGTTGCATTTCTTTTTTTTTATATATACAAATACTATCATGGTTGAGCTTTCATCTCTATTATGATAAACAAAAACTCATTCTCGCGTGGCTTCTTATTCAACAAGTTGCATCCTTTTACTGTATCTTTCTTTTCATGCTATAAAAGCTTTTATTAATTCTATCTTTTATTAATACAGTGATTCTGTTCTACTGTTAAGGTTTATTAGTAAAGCTTGGTTGGGATTAGAAACAAATTATTATTGTGGTATAAAAGGTCAAAAGTCAAAGGTTGCAAAGAGTAATAGTTGGAGAATTTGTTTTAAAATAGGAGAAAATAGATAGTAGAGTCCCTGAAGGCTCAGTTTTAGGTTTACTATTCTTTGTGGTATTTATAAATGATTTATTAATTAAAATCAAAAGGCAAACTATTCGCTGACAATACTAAACTATTAGCAGTCATTAAATCAGAATCAGATAACATCAGTTTACAAAGCGATCTCAATATTTTAAAAGAATGGACAGGTAAATAAAATTTAACTTAAAAGAATGGACTGGCAAATAAAATTTAACTTGCAAAAATGTAAAGTAATGCATTTCGGATATAACAACCCTAAATATAAATATAAAATTGATGAAGTTATACCAAAGGAAGTGAAAGTTGAAAAAGATCTTGGTATTTTTATCTCAAATGATTTTGATTGGAGTCACCATATATGCTATGCGATTAATATAGCAAATAAACAAATAGGAAGAATTAAACATGCATTTGAATATATAGATAAAAGTATTATTAACTTATTATACAAATCATTAGTTTGTCCCTATCTTGAGTATGGAGCAGTTATTTGGAACACCCAGTGGAAAGGAGAAATTATTAGACTTGAAAAAGTTCAAAATAGGGTGACCAAAATATTAAGTCTAGTTTGTTATGGTCGTGAAGAGAGAAATTTAAAACTAAAGTTGTCTTCATTAAAAACAGAAGGCAGGGTTATATAATCCAAATGTTCACATTAGTAAAACAAATTGATGAAATAAATTTGCATAACCAAATTGGATATTAACCCCTGGTAAATCTTATCTACTTTATCTATTTTATCTACTGCTCCAATGAGAAGATGCAACTCAGGTGGAGCAACTAAATTTTCTAGCCAAGTATTTTTATCAGTGTTAAGATATATTAGACGTTTGTTCACAATGTTATCGAATTCCTTCATGGATGATCTGATAGAACCATTTTTAATATATGCTGATACAGGAAGTAGATGGTAGTTGGACTACAGGAAGTAGATGATTACACGAAGCTACAGGAACTACAGGAAGTAGATAAGGAAGGAAGGACTACAGAAAGTAGATAAAGAAGGAAGGACTACAGGAAGTAGATAAGGTACTTTAAGTTGCGCTTCAAGTTGAAGTGAATTTAAAGCAACTTTAAAATTTTACTTTTTTCATTACCATCCCATCCAACTCCATGATAATTATGTTAATTATGTTATAAATTTTAATTATAGTGTATTTTTAACCACAACTCAAAATCTTCCAACTCAGTTAAAAGAAATCGGCTATCTTATTCAATAACTTGTCTTATTCACTGATCCAATAAGAAGATAACATAACATTGAAATACTATACATTTAAACATAAAGACTTTATGTTTAAATGTATACAGTTAATTATCAAAATTGTTTTTAGTTCATTTTGTTAAGATTTGAGTAAAAAACACTTTAAAAGAGGTGACGACGAAGTCAAATATAAAAATTTTCAAGATTTCTTTTTTGGTTTTAGTAAACAAAATTACATATGAAACTGATTGAAAATCTGAAAATATTTCAAAATGACAAAAATTTATGTCCTTTTGGTACACCTTAATAGATGCACGCACATAAAAGTATACTTAGATTAGCACTCTGATATCTTACTATAAAATAAGCTGCCAGGGCCTTTAGAACATACATTGACTAATGTAGGGAGAACATGCAAAGGAGTTGCTGCTACATCAACTAAGGTTTTTGGTTGGGGTAGCAATAAGCTTTTTTCATTATTCTTCGTTTTTCGAAAGCCTTTCAGATTTAATTACGGATAGTCAGCAAATGCACATCTATCTAAATGCATATCTTATGTTTTGATTTTTTTAATTTAAAAGAAAACTTCAATCATCTAACTGAAAGAGATTTTTATTTTCCATTAGTTAAAAATGAGTTCATTATTAAATTCATTATTAAGTTCATTATTAAAATTAAGTTCATTATTAAAAATCAATTTCATTATTAGTTTTCTGAATCTGAACTAATTTTACACCTCTCTATAATCTGTCTATGTCTGTTATTTGTACCATTTATATCCTTTTTTTTTTTTTACAGTTCACCTCAATCTTAAATCTTTTTTTGTTTTTTTAATTATTTTTTTTTGTAGCAACTTATAATATACAAAATTCTTCATTTTTTTCAAAGATGCTAAAAGGTATTGAATTCAGATATAAAGATGTAACATCTCCAAGAAGTTATGTCACAGAGTTATCCTCACTAATGCAGGTAAAATTATAGAAATTTGTAACGATAATCATAAAATTGTAACAATAATCATAAAGTTGTAACGATAATCATAAAATTATTTGTCTATAAACTACTTAAAAGTTATATTTTAGCAATATCCACCTGATGACATTTTGTATGGTCCATACATGATGGAAGAGTTTAGTCCAGATTTAATTAAGATGGTAATTGATCTCCTAACTCCTGATAAATTTAGGTATAAGTTTAGACAAGATTTTTTTCTATGGTTTAGTTATAATTGTGTGTACCCTGGTGATATGTATTATCATGGTGTTATTGTGATGATAAGTTTAGCTATTAATATATTATTAATAAAAGGATATTAACATTTTTTTTGTGATTCAATTATTTTGGTGTGTTTGACCAGTAATTGTTTGTTCACATCCAGACATGATGATCCAAATGTAGTACTATTATTATTTGCTAATTAAATCACTTTTAACTAAAAATTTTAAAATGAAAACTTTCGAGTTGTGCTTATACTGCTTTGGTCTTAAAACAAATTTTTTCCCGCCAATCACGCTCTAATGGTAATTCTTATATAGGGTTGTCAAAGAAATTTTAAATTATGTTTTTATTATTAGGTAAAGAAATTTTAAGTTATGCTTTTATTAGGACTGTAAAGAAAATGTAAATTTTTTTATTATTGGGAATGTCACCATTCAAAAATATTTTTGATATTTCAATAAAATTTTTATGCTTTTTTTAAAAATTTTGGCTTATTGTTTTTAAAGGTTTATTTTATATTTATTTATTTAATCATGATTAAGTATTTGAAGTTTATCTTTAAACTTTCTTATCTTTAAATGTTCTCACCTGTAAACTTTCTCTGTAAATTTTCCCAATTTACTTTATTATCTTTAAACGTTCTCACCTGTAAGCTTTCTTTGTAATTTTCACTGTAAAATTTATTTTTAAACTTTTTCATTTTTAAACTTTTTCATCTTGAATGTAAATAAAACGGTTTTATACAATAAAATAAATAGTATTGAAATTTTCAAACCTAATAATGTTATAATAACCAGGCTTTTTATTTTAATTTTTTTTATATATATTATTAGTATTAGTATTAGTAATTGCTATAACTGGTGTGAGCCAGTGAGTGTGGTATTAACACACTATGACAGCAGATTCACTTAACTACTGCTCATCCAGCAATCAAGACCCACTTTAAAACTGTTAACTGATTGTGCTTTAACCAACTCGCTTGGCAAACTATTCCATAAATTGGCTAATCTGTTAAATAAAAAGTTTTATGACACGATTGCCTAGTGATTTCTTTGATATATTTAAAGCTGTGACCTCTCATTTGAGTTTGTTGAATACTAATTTTTTTGATTGTTTCCAAATTGTTAAAACCGTTAAAGATTTTAAAAAGTTGAATCATGTCTGTTATGTTTAACTTTTGCTCATTGATTTAAAGGGTTGATTTTTTATTATTCCAGTCAAATTGCGTAACCATACATTTTGAAATATTAAATTTTACAAACCAGTCTTAAATCCAGTCTTAAAACCAGTCTTAAATCCAGTCTTGAGTTCACCTAAAAGCTAAATCAAGATCTGATTGCAAAGAAAGAGAAAAGCATTCACAGATTCACAGAAAAGCATTTCATTCAAAATTTTGATGTCATCTGCTTACAGATTGGTTAGGTTTTTCAGACTTTCAGGCAAATTGTTTATAAATAGTACAAACAAGAGTGATCCAATTACTAACCCCGCTTGCACACCACTGGTAATTTCTGCCCAAGAAGTTACATTTTCCCCAATTACAAATCTTTGTTTTCTTTCTTTTAAAAATGCTTCAACCCATTGTATTGTCAGGCCAGATATTTCATAAGCTGTTAGTTTAAGCAACAAACTTTTCTGTGGCACTGTGTCAAATGCCCTGGTGAAATTTAAAAAAAAACATCCTCAGGTTTACCATTCTCTAAACGAAATCATGTGTTTCAAGTAGATTAGTTGAGCATGATTTATTTTGAACAAAATTGTGCTGTTGCTTGACTATTAGTTTAAACTTATATAGAAAAGTTTCAATTTTACATCTGATTATACCTTCCATTATTTCACTATTATTTTGCTATTGAGGTTAGGGTTGTCCCGGATAACAATTTTAAATATCCAACAAGATATCGGATAATTAAAAGTTATCTGGCCGGATAATTCAAATCCTAAAATACTTTTTATTTATATATTCAAAACACTGCTGTAATAAACCTTCAAAATGACAAGTTTTATTTGGAATTTTTCAAAATTAATGATAAATGTGATTCCACAGCAATTTACATTCCATTTTCGAAGCAGATAAGTAGGGAATGTAATAAATATGGTCAGAAGTCGTTTTCCACAACTCCACTACATATTCACCCAAAAATATTTTATTATAAATTGTATGAAGAGGGAAAAAAATTGAATCTTCTTCAGCTACACAAGAAAGTTATTGAATCCTTATAAAGTTTAATAATAATATTATTATAATGATAATAAGTATTGAATCCTTATAAAGTTTTCCTTGTATGAGCTACTCAAGAAGTTTATGTTTTCTTTAATCACTAAATTATAGATAAAAATAATGACGTTAAACTGTTAATTAAAAATAATGATGTTAAACTATTGGAAACATGAACAGAAGATTACACTGCCTAATAAGTTAGCACTTAAGTTACTAGCACTATCTGCATTTTCTGTATTTTTGGAAAGATTGTTTTCAGAATAAGTAAAAACTTATGAGAAAAAGCATTCAAGACTGTTCAATGCAGAGAAATGTTATAGGGCTCGAATTAAGCATATCGCAAAGGCGAATCTCAATTGCTTTTCACACCTTTGCAATTAGTTTTTTTTTTTTTAAGTATTTTTGCAATTTATTTTTTTTTGGTTGTTTATTTACTTTTTTTCTAGTTACGCTATTGTCAATAAATAACATCATGCGAAATTTATCTTCTGAATAGATGATCATTTGTTTTTTCGTGCGGAGATTTTCATTTAAAGTAAAACACTTTTGAATTTAAACTACTTAAAATTTCTGCATGGAAGCCAATAATATTTAAAAGACATTTAAAGGGAAAAGTTGAAAGGGGAAAAGACGTTGAAACAAATTTTTTCTTCATTCTTTTTTTTTAACAAAACAGCCTGGTTTTTATCTTTGTTTTTCAAAGCGTTGTACCAAATTAACTTATTATTAAAAATTTAAATATTTCATCAACAATTTTATATTATTAATTTTACTACTTTAAGTATATTAATATATATATATAATAATATATATATATATATATATATATATATATATATATATATATATATATATATATATATATAATAATAATATATATATATAATAATATATATATATATATATATATATATATATATTATTAAACTTAAAATTACTTTGTACCATTTAAAATTATATACAAATATATACAAATATGTTAAGATCAGTTACTAATGTATAATCAAAAGAAAATCGTAAAAAAACAAAAAAAACAAGCAATCACACCTTAAAACTAAAGATAAGTTAATAGGATAATTTAAAGAAAATTTAAATTGGTTAGACTAGTTAATAAGATAGTTGTTAAAAAAAAGACAAAAGAATCTTAAAAAGAGTTTAATTCATTAACATCGTTAAGAAGTTTTTGTTTGAGTTTTTGTTTAAATAGAGAAAGTAAAGAACAATTTTTCAGCTGGTTGTTTAATAAAATGTTCCATAATTTAGGACCTCTGATGGCAATAGAAAATTTAGTAGCCAAATAGTGTATTTTAGGTTGCTCGTAATTATAATTTGAAAATCTTGTAGGGTACATATGGTTAATTTTTTTGAAAAATGTATTAAAAATTATAGGAGTTAATTTATTATGTAGTTTGTACATAAATATAAGAATTTGATAAAGGTTTAACTGAAGAACATTGAGTATGTGATGATTTTTGAATAGTTCTTTAGAATGTGCAAATCGACCTGCATTTGGAATAATCCTGACAGCGTTTTTTTGTCTACTAAGCAATTTTTTAACTTTCCTTTCATTAGAGCTGCACCATGCAATATTTGCATAGTTTATATAACAATGTATGAGGGAGAAATATAAGATTTTAAGCAGTTTTGGTTTAAGATTTGCTTTGTATAGTATGGCAATATTTTTCGAAGTTTTATTTTCAATTGTTCTTATGTGTTCTCTCCATGTCATGTTTTCGTCAAGTATCACTCCTAAAAACTTTAATGATGACTCTAGCTATTTTAGAGTTGCCAATGTAAAGATCAGGAAGTTTTAATGGAATATTTTCTTTATCGTGAAGTCTATGAAAAAAAGTATACTTAGTTTTATTTAAATTTAAGGACAATTTGTTTGCCTTAAACCATTCCGCTAGATTTAAAAATTCCTTGTTTACTATTTTAAATAAGAGGTTGATATCTCCATTAGAATAAAATAAATTTGTATCATCTGCAAATAAAACTGAGTTTAAAATGTTTGAAAACTTATGGAAATTGTTTACATAAATAAAAAAATAAAAGTGGACCCAGAATTGAGCCTTGGGGAACACCACAAGTAATAGTCAAGTATTCTATTTTTATTACTTTTTGTGCTATGTATTGTTTTCTATTGTTTAGATAACTTTTGAGCCATTCTAAATATGTACTTTTAATACCATAACTTTCGAGTTTTTTTATAAGAATGCTATGGTCTACTGTATCAAAGGCTTTGCTAAGATCTATAAAAACTCCTAGGGTAAACTTACTTTCATCAAATGCTTTAAATAATACATGAACAAATAAATAACACATGTTTTATCGTCAACATGAACGTATTAAATAGTTTTAAATATTGTAATTGTTTGCTTTTTACTCTTTGTTTTTTATTTTTACTTTTTTAAGTATCATGTTAAGTAAAAACATTTACTAAAAGTCATATCTTAATTGTATTAAATACGTTACTTGCTCATTAAGTAACTGCAACTTAAACTCTAAATTATAAATTAAGCTGTAAATTATAACAGTAACTTACGCTATTTTAAACACAGCCAAACAAGAAAATTTTAAGACAATATTTAATATGTTAAAAAAATAACAAATAGTACAAAAGATATAATTTTATACTAATGCAACCCCCTCCCTCATTTCCGCAAAGCAGCGCGAAGTATGAGGAGGGGGCAAAATTTTTTTTTTTGCAATTTGAGTTTTTTGTGTTAATTCCAGCCCTGTGTTATTTATTTATACATCGTAATGCAAATAATTTAATAGATGAGTGATAAACTAATGTATTTTTTGCACATATATAATTTTAATAGTATTTTAATACTAATAATAACAATATTGAAGATTAACATTAGATTATTTAAAAGTATAACATTTGTAGAGTTTTTAAATCTTTCAATTTTCAAACATCATTAGCATGAAATATCTGGTATATCAAAAGCCTGACAAATTTATTATTCAGCTAGATACCGTATATCAAATAATATTGCTACCCGACCTTAATATTCGGCCAGATTATCCGCGACACCTCTAATTGAGGTGAGTGATACCAGTCAGTAGTTTCCTGCTTAGGTTTTTTCCTCTTTTTTCTACAGAGGAGTGATATTTGCTGATCTAAATTGCACTGGCAGTTTGCTGGATTCAAACGATTCTTTAAAAATATATGTAATTTAAATGGCAAAGGTTGATGCACAATTCTTTAATAGCTGAGTACTTAAAGTTTCATGTCATATATTTAAATCAAGAAAAAATTGTTCAAAAATACAGTTAAAAAACCGTTACAAAATTCCAAAAAACAATGGAATGAGTTCTGACGTCAAATAATAATCATCATAATAATAACAACAATAGTAATAATAGCAATAATAATAATAATGATAATAATAATAATATGGAAAAAACAACTTTTCTAATCGCCAGTGTCAAATGAAGAAAGGAGGAATCTGTTTGTTTTTTTGCACTTAGAAACAATTTCACTCCTTTTATTCAGTAGATTAGTATTTTTATAATGTAAGGTTTCATATTTTTCGGTGAGACAATTTACAAGATTTGGATGTTGGATTATATGCTTTACATTACCTGAGAATTTCCTTCCTTACATTACCTTCCACTTAACTATAGGAACTAAATTGGCTTCTTTTAACTTCCATACCTGCTTTGAGAGCCCAATATCATTTTTGTATTTAGAGATATTAAAAGATGTATTGAATTTTGAAGATAAAAAAGAATTTTGTAACTGTTTTTTAATTGTATTTTTTATCGGTTTTTCTTGATTTAAATATATGGCTGATGAGTGTCGAAAGTGGCATGAAACTTTAAGTATTGTAAAAAAGTTTTTTTTTTTTATCTAACCTTTTATTTATTTATTTATTGATCTATTTTGTGATAATTTCACTTTATATTGATCACTTTCAAATCAAAAAAGAGTTGATTATTATCACATAATCAAAACAACAATATATATATATATATATATATATATATATATATATATATATATATATATATATATATATATATATATATTTATATATATATATATATATATATATATATATATATATATATATATATATATATATATATATATATATATATATATATATATATATATGTATATATATATACTCTTGCATGGTAGTTAAAAAGAGTTTCCCATAAACTGTAGTTTTAAAGAGCGCGTTAATAAACCAGACCAGAAAAAGTTTAAAAAGTTAAATTTTTTTTTTTTTTAAATGATAGACTGCCTGCCCAAACCAAACCCTCAGTCGATGTAGCAGCACTCCCTTGCGAGTCAGGCTATTTGTCAGTTGTTGTAGCAGCACTCCCTTGCGAGTCAGGCTATTTGTCAGTCGATGTAGCAGCACTCCGTTGCGAGTCAGGCTATTTGTCAGTCGATGCAGCAGCACTCTGTTGCAAGTCAGGCTATAAGATAGTCGATGTAGCAACATTTACGCATGTTTTAAAAATGTTTTTTAATTAAAAAAAAAAAAAACACCACTAATAAAAAAAACTTTCTAGTCGTTATATATGCGGTTTTTTAAAAAATTTTTAAAAAACAATAAAATTTAATGTACTTCCGCATTAATTTAATTGCTTTGACATTTCGACGACAATCAAATACAGCTTAAGAGACGAGGTAATTAAAATTGTAGTCGAAAGAGACTTTTTTTTACATTAAAACACTCTTTCGACTACACTATAAGGATATATATATATATATATATATATATATATATATATATATATATATATATATATATATATATATATATATATATATATATATATATTGCATGCTGAAACTTTTGCAGATTCAGGTTGGTATTTAAATGCCACTGATAGGTTGGTTTTTACAATTGAATTGTTGAATGCTAAACTAATGGCTGTTTCATAATTGTATGTTACAATACTATACGATTATATAAACAGTTAATATACTATATACAATTTACAAATAAACTTACAGTTAATTGACAGGTAGCTTGCAAGTTACCTAACTTACAGTTTGGTAACACCAGATAACTAACACATCTAATTAATTTTGTGATGAAGTGATGAAGCATCTACTATTTAAAATCAAGTACCAAGATAGCTTGATATTTAAAATCAAGTACCAAGATAGCTTGATATTCAAAATTTAGATGGACAACTTTTTGAAAAAGAAATTAAAATCTTTACATAAAAATTGGAACTCGCATTCCATATCTTCACTCTTAAAATTATGATACTAATGTATAAATGTATAGAATGTTATATTTAGTATTACAATATCATCGTAGTATTTAAATTATCTCTACAATTCAAGGTATTTTGTGGGATCACCAAATTTTAAAGGTGAAACATTGTTAAAAACTAATCACTACGATGCTGAATATAAAGTCAATCATATTGAAGCAGCTCAAATAAAGGTTTTTTTTTTTATTATTTAATGCTTTTTGTTTGTTAGTTTGTGTCAGATTTATTACATTATTATAGTTTATCATATCAAGTTAAAAATAAAATATAAAAGTGTTTGGCACATAAAGTGTTTTCACTAGAAAACACTTTGTGTTTCTATAGCAACTATGCGTTGTCTCAACCCCATCAATTAATAAATAACAACAAAGAGCTCTAATGTGCACACTAAAAGCACTAACAAGAACACATTCTGTGTGCAAAAAGGCAAAAACCTTGAGTAGAATCATGAAGATCCACCATTCATAATCCTAGACAGGAAACAATGTAATTTTATTTACTAGGCTGATAAAATTTGTTTTAATAACACAAAAGTAAGTATCAATTGTTTTAATAACACGTAAATAAATATCTATTGTTTTGTTAAAACTGAAAACAGTTTGCTTAAGAACTTTGCTGGTTACAACAAAGCTTCTGATAAATTAACATTTTGGGTTTTAATTCTCACAATCTCAAGTTTTTAGTTTGTTACTCTGTCATTTTAACAATAAAAAAAATAAAAAAATAAAAAAATCAAGGTTATTTTTATTCTTTTACTTTTTTTAAAATAATGTTAAGAAATGATTTTTTTTTAATTTTTAAACACTCCATTATGTTTTTATAAATTATTTTGAGTTTAATTTTTAAATTATTTTGAATTTTTAATTAAAAAACTCAAAATATTATTAAAAGAGTTTTGCAATGATTTAGAAAATAATTTTTAAAAAGTTTATAAATACAAAAAGAAGGAAAAGAGTTTTTTGGTATCAAAAATTAAATTATGCATTTTTTATTACTATTAAAACAAAAGATTTTTCATTCATACCAAAACTTTATTAGATTATTAATTTTTTTTTTTTTTTTTACATTATTTATCTCCCCAAGGTTGAAAGTTCTACTTCAACCTTGGGGAGATAAGAAGAGTTTGAGGAGTCAAGGCGGCTAATTTGTTTTTTTTGTTGTTGTTGTTCTTGAGCGTTCCACTACAACCACATAATATTATTCATTCACCATTTATTAATTAGTTATTCTGAAATATGATTATTAAAGTATTATTTTATAGAAATGGGAATCGTGTGGTTTAAATCCTGACCTTCACTTTCCAGATAAAAATCCATTTATTCCGTGTAGCTTGGAAGTTAAAGTTACCAAAAAAGATGTATTTGCATTTATTTTTATAAAATTTTTAAAATCTAAAATTTAGAGAAAAAAAAGAAAAATTTTACTTATGTCATTTTTTAATTTTTAGATCAAGAATGTTCCTTACATTTTTAAGGTATTTGATAATTTTTTATTCATTTTATCATAAATTAAATAAATTTTTTTTTAATACTTAATTTACAGCACTTTTTAATATTATAATTTATTAAAATAGTTTTTATAAATTAAGAACTACATAGTTAAATAATTTAACTCAGTGTTAGCAATATTATATATGTGTATATTTATTAGCAATGTTATTTATATATTTTATTTACTTTTCTATATTTATGCTTTAAGCTTAATTATACCAAGACTCATTCAATGCAAACAATTTTTTTTATATGTAAAATTTTTGTAACTGTTTTAAAAATTATATTTATTTTAACCATCGTAATTAACATGTTTATTCACTGTAAATTAGTTTACTTTTTTTGATAACTTTTTTTTTTAATTATTAAAAAGAGATCCAAGAGAAAGAATGATTTGGTTTTTGTTTTGACAAACTTTTTCTTGTTTTGTAGTTAGGGATTGAGATAAACATGTTGAGTAAATCAATGAAAATTCATGTTGTAAGATTTGGTCCTTATTAGTATATTATTATACTAAGTATACTTCATGCAGATTTTCTAATCTTAATGGTAAAAATTTACCCATGTTTTTAGCAGTATAAAGGTTGCATCTTTTATGAAGTCATTGTATGATCTAAAATCATACAGACTTGAGGCTTAAAATCACTCATAACTTGCAATTTAAATCATAACACATTGTACAAGTCATTGTACCATCCATGTGTTATGATCCATATATAACATCATACCATCCATTATGAACATCAGTAAACAAAACAAGGTAAAAACAAACATTTACATAGCGCTATTATGATACATTTAACTGTTTTAAGAATGGACAAAATGACAATGACAATGAATATTAACTCACTTGCTTTACATTACAGGCTATTAAGTAAATAAAGGTAACTTTGATTAAAATAAGATAAAAGAATATAATGAATGGTAAAGAAATCAAAAAAAACTTTTGCTGTTTTCTGAAGCTATTTAAACTATTTGTTTGTAGAATTTTTTCTCACTTTTTTTTTTTTTTTAAATCAGGATACAGAAATGATGCGCATTTGGTACAAAGCAGATGATACTTTCCTTTTGCCAAAAGCTATTATTAATTTATCAATTAAAAGGTTTGGTATTCTTTATTATGGTTTTATATAATTGATGAGTACAGTTTAACAGTTCAGTATTAGTTTTTATTTTAAGCATTTTTTTTATTGCAAACACTTTTTTAGTCCTGTTGCAAATAATAATCCTTTGGAAAACAATTTACTTGCAATGTTTGTGGAAATTCTGAATGATGAGTTAAATGAATTGCTTTATGCTGCTGATCTCGCTAAACTTAACTGCATCATAAACCAAACCATAAGTGGAATTTTTGTAAGGACTTTATATACACACAGTGGTTGTCATATTATTAGACTCAATACCAGAAACTTCATACTTCTTTGTTATTTCTTTTGAATTTTTTTGTTCTTATTTTACTAGAAAAACTAAAATAATAGAATAATTACATATGCAATCAAAAAATTGTATTTAGCATATAAAAACAAAACTAAATGGAACATGAAATTTAATATTTATTAAAGTGCCCTTTTGCTGGTTTTATGGCTTGAATGTATTTTGGTATGGTCAAAATACATATTTTAACTGTTTTTTGGAGCTGTGGTTCCAAGCATATATGAGCTTTTCTAAAAGTTTTTGCTTTGTATTAAAAGTAACTTTCTGTCAGAATCAGGCAGAGCTCAATAGTGATCTTCTACAAAATTACTTAGTTGGTGGTATTTATATTAGTTGGTGGTATTTATATTAGTTGGTGGTATTTATATTAGTTGGTGGTATTTATATTAGTTGGTGGTATTTATATTAGTTGGTGGTATTTATATTAGTTGGTGGTATTTATATTAGTTGGTGGTATTTATATTAGTTGGTGGTATTTATATTAGAAGATAAATTCGAAAAAATATTTATTGGTTCTCAAGATGTTGGCTTTTAAGTCTAACAAATGTTTTTTAGGAATATTGGCCAAATGTAGTTGAAAGCATTTTTAAATTTTAAAATAAAACAAAATAAATATTTTTCAATGTAGTTTTTTTAATAAATTGTTGCTATTTGTACTAGAAGGTCAATACAATGGTAATTTTCAAAAAATATATATATATTTATCCTCTAGATATTGTACAACAAAGTTTAACATATATTTTAGAATTATTGGACAACAAAGTTTGATAAATATTTTAGAATTATTGGAAGACAAAGTTTGACAAATATTTTAGAATTATTGGACAACAAAGTTTGACAAATATTTTAGAGTTATTAACAAAATGGTGTCAACTGCATTTTCAAATTTAAAATTAAAACAAAGTCCATTTTTTTATATTATTGTTTCATTTAATTACTATATATTAGCAGTTGAGACCTCAAAAAATATAAAATATATGACAGGCTTTGTTTTAAATAAAAAATGCTTAACACATTAGCTTAATGTGAATTTGTCGTTATAAAATTCTATATATTATTTTATTTTTTAAAGACATTAACTTTTTTAAATTACTGCAATTAATTACCGCAAAACGAGTTAAATGTTATTTAACTTCTTTTTTATTATTACTTTTAGGGAATGTTTATTTTCTTTTAATTTTTTTTTTGTTTTGTTTTTTGTTTTTTTTTTTTTTTTTTTTTCACTAATTAGTTAAATTTAATATTACATTTTTTTAAATGTTTGATATAAACAAATTTCTTTTTATTCTCAACATTTGTATGAATTAGTTAAATTATGTTAAACTCAAGAAGTAATCATTTAAAAAGAAATTTTAAATAATTATTTCTTAAATTTCTAATTTCCGCTTCTCAACTAAAAATAATTTTTTATTTCAAAAAAATTAGAGAGTAACAAATAAAAAAATTACGTTAATTTATTTACTTTATTTATTAAAAGTTTATTACTATGTTTTTAAAGCTAAGTTTATTTTTCCAAACACCAAAATTTTTTAAAATTTTATCGCTGTATATATCATTTATTAAAAAAAAATTGCTGCGCTTCAACTTGTGTTATAAAAAAAAAGTTACATTTTATACAAATTTTTGATTAAATTTTAAATAAACATGTTTATTTAAAATTTAATTTTGAGTTTAAAAAAAAAAATGTTTAGAAAGGAAAACTAAAAAAACAATTGCAATAAAAATGAGCTAATTTTTTTTAAGAATAAATAAAATTTAAATATTAAACAATATTTAATAATATTTTCAAATAAATTTGACAGTTAAGTTAAACCCAAGCATTAACTTTAATTTTAATAAACTTAAATTTATTTTTTTAATCAGAATTAAGTTATGTATTTTTTAAATCAAAATTAAGTGTTTTGTTTTTTTTATCAGAATAAAGTTATATACTTTTATTAAATTCGTTTTAAATTATATCATATATTTTTCATCAAAATTAAATTATGTTATTACAATCTTTGCTTCAAGCTTAAAGTATTAGCATTTTCCAAGCAAAAATCAATAATTACAATAAAAAAAATAATAATAAATTATCATAATACAACATAAAGATAAAATAAAATTTAACTATTTTTTCAATAATTTATTTTTTATTGTTAAATAGAAATTTAAGTAAATTTTTTTTATTCTAATTAAAGGTTGTATAAATATTTTTGTGCTCACAAGATGATAAATAATGTTTTTTTTTTTTCATTACTAAGTAATGTTTTTTTTTCATTACTAAGTTAGTAAAGCTTATATTATATTAGTAAAGCTTATATATATATATGTAACATAAATTTATTTAAACTTTTGTAACAACCTTTTTTACATTATCTTTATTCAAAAGTTAATGTGATTTTTTATAAAATTAATTACTTCTTATTAATTACGTTTTATAAAATTAATTACTTCTTTTATTTTACTGCTTATAGAATAATTTAAAAGCTAAGAAATGATAAAAAGTTGCCAATGAAAATCATTCTAGACGTACATAAAATTGCTTTACATGTACATAAACTGTCTGCAGCTTAACGCTTTAAAACAAGGCCTGTATGATAAGCAGATGGTTTGTATAAATATCATGCTTCAAAAGTAAACAAAAATTGATTTTTGTTGTTTTTAAACTTGATTTTAAAATCTTTGGTAGTTAATAAAAATTTTATATAAAATAGGTACTTTACTAAATAAAGAATTATAATTTTTATAAATTTTAATTTAGTAAAATCCCTGAAAGAATAAAAATATCCATTGAGAAGTAAAAGGTTAGTCATCCATCAAGATGTAAAAGGTTAGTCATCTTTTATAAAAGTCATCCATCGTAAAAGTAAAAGGTTAGTCATCCATTGAGATGTAAAGGGTTAGTTATCCATTGAGAAGTAAATGGGCTGTTCATGAATTAATATAGTACTTTAAAAAGGAAAATTTCACTTGATTCTTATAGAAAGTTGCTCTAAGCCTCATTTTCAGTCATTTTCTTGTTTTAAAAGCTCCCAGACATTCTCTATTAGATTCATATCCAAAGAATTTTAATGTTAATACAAAAAAATTGGGCTCCATCTTGAATAAAGATGCACTTTTATTTCAGTTAGCCATTGGTGAACCAATGGCTAACTGAAAAAATTGAGGCAATAGTTTATCTTGTAGAATTAGCTTGTTTCGATCTTAACCCATTGTGCTTTTGACAATGTTGGTAATAAATTTTATTGACAAAGTTGCCCAGTGTCAATAAAATTTATTACCAACCATGGCGAACATTAAATGTTAGGATGTTGGTTCAATACTGTCTAGATAGTATTTTTCATTTACTCCTAACAAATCTATCATATGATAACATATGGTATGTCTATCATATTTTAAAAAATCAATTTATCTAAAAAGCAAACCTGAAAATAACCAATGCACTAACAAATAATAAAACCAAACCCCAAAATATATGAGTAAATACATAAAAGAAATTGAATTTTAAAGTGAAAATTTTAGTTTTTTCTATTAGTCCTTAGTGGAGTTTTTTTTCTTATTTCAAATGTTTTTTAAACATAGTTAATGTCATTTTTGAGCTGGTTGTTTCTGGTTTTGAGCTGGTTTTTGAGTTAGTTGTTGAGAAAATAGCCCAAGTTCTTTCAAATGTCTCTGCACAGTGTATATGCCAATGCCTTTTTCTCTTATTTGCTTAGTTAGACTGGATTTTTTCTGTTCTAAAAGTTGCGATTCTTTTTCTTTCACAAGCTACTTTTTTGATTGCAAAGATACTCTTAAGTCTAATTGTACTTTGAAACACTTTGAGGATATTATCTATTTTATACTGGGATAAGTCAGTATTATTCAATAATCCATGAATTTCCCCCAATTTACGTGGAGAGATATTAGAAGTCCTGTCCATAGTTTAAATAAAAGCATAAAAGTTAGATTAAGTAAAAATGCTTAAAAGTTAGATTAAATGTTTAATTACTGACAAAAAAATAACAGATATTTATAATTGATAAAATGCAAAAGTTTTTCAAGCAATAAAAATAATGTAAACATACCTTGTTAAAGTAATCCTTTTTTTACACTTAAACTTTAAATTTTACTAATATCAAGGAAGTCTAATAATATCGCAAGCCACTTTATTTAATATTATAAGTGTTGACTATTTTGTATTAATGCTCTTAGCATTTTTTTTTAGATTTGTATCCATGGTTATGATGACAAACAACATTTAGTTCTTTCAAAAATTGTAGAGAAGTTAAAAGAATTGAAAATTAAAGAAGATAGATTCAATGCCATCAAAGAATCAGTGTGAAATCTTTTTTTTTATTATATTGTTAATAGTAAAAGCAATAACAACAATAATAATATTTGGACAATTTCAAAATTTATTCATATAGTTAATTTTAAATTTGTTGACACCAGAAGTTAAAGACTTTTGACACCAAAACATTAAAGTTCCGTTGACACAGTACAGCTAGTACTTGTTGATCAAGGAATACTTAAACTCTATAACATAAACAAATAAACAAAGATTTAATCAAATAAATAAAGGTTTATTCTTTAATTGAAAGAATAAACTAGGTTTATTATTTCAAATTAACAATTAATTCTTCCATTCTAACTATCAACTCCTCTGTTTTCACAATCATTTTTTCAAGCTTGTCAAAAGTTTTAAAGGTTTTTTCATCATAATATTTGTTAAGAACTTATTGTATTATTCTATTATACTTACTGTATTATATTATATAAATTTTGTTAATTATATATATATATATATATATATAATATATATATATATATATATATATATATATATATATATATATATATGTTATATATATATATATATATATATATATATATATATATATATATATATATATATATATATATATATATATAAATATATATATATATATATATATATATACACATTATTTATATTATTTATATTATTTATATTATCTTTCCAACATTCTAACTATCAACTATTCCTCTGTTTTCACAATCATTTTTTTCAAGCTTGACAAAAGTTTTGAATCAATAAATATTTTGTCTCTGGTTAAATAATATTTTGTCTCTGATGAATTTCAGGAAAGTGTAAACTTGTTACTATACTATATACTGTTATACTCCACTGCTTTTTTGTAAACTCTGAATTAAATAGTTTATGCTGTTTCTAAACAATAGGTTTACACAATGCCATGGCATCATATAGGTTTACAAAAAGGTGGTGGAGTATAGAGATGATTTTGATTGCAGCAAATGTGCTGAGTTAGTAAAAAAGGTTTTGACAAATCCACAAGTATATACATTATAAATGACTTATGACATGCAATGACATAGTATGAGATTGTGTACAATGTCAGAAAAAATTATTAGCTTTTAGTTACCTGTTTAATTGAAAACAATGTATAAAAGTTAATGGAGTTTTATTAGTCAAACAGACCATTTTTTGTCAAGTAATGTTTTATTCATGGTCTTTTTAATGTTTCTTGTTTTTTTTTAATTTATGTGAGCTTAAATTACTGCAAAGTATGGTGATATCAATGTTCTGAAATTCGCAAACCTTGAAATGATTATTAAAAAAAACTTGCTTAGAAAGTTTTACAGCAACGTCTGATTTTAAACTACTAATAGTTCTAATATAATTTATTAAAATTTTTTTAAAAACCTTTTTAATAAATTTATTAATATCATTTCAACCCTGGAGGCAAAGCTTAACGTATAGTTTTTAGAACAGCATTACAAACCTTTATGAATCTTGACTACTACACAAGGCACAAATATTACACATACTATCAGTTTTAGTATTTAACCATAATATAAATCAAATTTTTTTCTTCCAAACTCCCAATTTTTTTACATTTTTAATAACTATATTATTTTTAAACCTTCAAATTTTCTGTTTTCAATAATCTTTCAATGAAAGATTTGCTGCATTTAAATTTGTAGCCAAGTCTTGTTGTAAATGAGTACTACAAATTGATTCAGCTATTGATTTTGCTCTTTTTTCCACTGCTTCTATGTTTTCTGTTTATAGTTTTGTTCTCCTTATAATGTTTGATATCAATTTCAACAGTTAATTTAACAGAAAACATGATGATCAAATGGATATGAGGTATAACTCTGATGAAAAAGAAATCACTTGATGAACTTAGACAAAGTATACACTAATAATTGTATCTGATAGAGTGCGCAACTTTAGATAATTTTATCAAAGAGCTATCAGTAAAAATGACCATTTCTTTAAATAGATAGAATTCAAGACAACAACAACAACAATGACAATAAAGATGTTGTACCTTTATTACCTATAAGTGTAGTGAGATGTTTTTTTTTTTTATAATTTTAGAAAGAAAAATCTTTAAAGAACCATGAGTTAGTTGAACCTTATCAACAAGTATCTCTCTGTAGCATGCATCTAGTTGATGAAGCTATTTGGGATGTGGATGATAAGTTAGTTTGCATGAAAGGTAAACAGTTTTGACAGAAAATATATATATACAAGGGTATTCTAAAAAATAGTTTGGTCGGCAGTAACCCCCTGATGGCGTCTGCCGTAAGGGAATATATGACGGTATTTTTTTCTCAAAAAAAACATTGCAAACTTGAAATATGTTTATAACCATTAAGTAAAAAAAGTTAGTCAACAAAATAAACAATAAACAAAATATTTTCTTTTAATTTAGCACTACTAGTGCTAAACTTATAAGGCTATATATATATATATATATATATATATGTATATATATATATATATATATATATATATATATATATATATATATATATATATATATATATATATATATATATATATATATGTATATATGTATATACATGCATACATACATATACATGTTGAAGTTTATATATTTATATTTATTTATATATATATATATATATATATATATATATATATATATATATATATATATATATATATATATATATATATAGCCTTTTGAAGAAAGGCGTGCATTAGCATCACTTTTCTGACTTTTATAGTTTTCTATAGACTTATAATTTTTGAATTGAAGGCATAGTATTTTGTTTTGACAACACAGCTCTATGCATGTTTTATAAATTTGAAAAAAAATCAAACTAAACAAAAAAATAAAATTACATAAACTGAAAAAAAGAAATTGTTTCTTAATGAATGAGAAAATAAATAAAACTTGAAAAAATAAAACTATAAAAATAAAATATGTATATTTTTTTAACTTATATTTTTTTGAATGAAAGATTTGCTGCATTTAAATTTGTAGTCTTGTAAATGAATGCTATAAATCGATTCAGCTATTGATTTTGCTCTTTTTTCCACTGCTTCTATGTTTTCTGTTTATATTTTTGTTCTCCTTATAAACAACATTAATTCTTGTTTTACAGAAAAATCTTTTATTAGTGAAAACACATTCTAGCTTAGGTTTGCAAACTACCTTGCAAAAATCCTCAGCCCTTGGAATAAGAGAAAGATTAGGTCAGCAAAAAAATGCCTACCTAAAACTTTTTATAGGTCAGTAGAAAATTTAGAAATAGGGTTCGACAATGCGATGAATGTTTGAACAGAGTTCAATAAATCGATGAACATTTTTCCTAAAATTAACGCACAAAAAAATATAAAATGTTGATATTTAATTAAAAATTTGAAACTCAGCATTTTACCATTTTAATAGTATTTTAAATAAAACATAATACATCAATTTTTTTTTTTTTTTAATTTTATTTAGAACAAATAAAATGTTTGTTTTTTCTGTTTTTGTTTTAATTGTTTTGTTTATAACTCAAATAAAAGATTTTCTAATTGGTGTAAATAAATTATTGGTGTGTGTATTGTTTGAGTTACGATTTGTTTGTTGATTGTTAATCATTAAATATTTTGTGTGTGTATTGTTTGAGTTAGGATTTGATTGCTTAATTTATTATTATATTATTACCTTTTTTTTCAAAGCAAAATTTGAGGCAAGTATATTCTAATTATATAATTCTAAGATAATAATGATTAAAGAACAAATATGTTTAAATTTTTCTTATTTATAAAAAAAAATAGCTAGCGTAAATGAACTACACATGATTTTAATTTGTATTTAGAGTGTAAGTTATTTTCCTATAAGTTGAAACTATGTAATCACCCACACAATGCATATTTGTTATTGTTTTCAGTCTGCATATTTTGCACATATAAGTTATTGTCTATAATAAATATGAGTGGTCAGATTTTTTGATCATTATTGTATTTCCATAATAAAGCTGTACACACATTCCTGTACACCATGATAAAGCTGTGCACACATTCACATAAAAGCATATAAAAAAACTTTTTTTTGTTGTTGAGTTCTAAGAAAAAATAAATATTATCATTTTATTTATTTTTTTCAATTTTCATGTGCAATTACAAAATTTAAAATTACTATTTTTTGTCATCACTTGTAGTTTGTGTAGTATTTTGTAGTAATTATGAATGAATTTCTCATGTTTTATTCAAATCTTTTAGCACACATTTAATTTTAAGTGATTTTCTTTTTTTTTTCTTTTGTAACTAGAAATATATGGTTCAAACATACAATTGTAAGTAATTTATCAGATTGAAGTTGTAAATATATTTGATTCTCACAGATGTTACTGTAAAGAGTTTAGAAGAGTACATAAGCAGATTTCTGGTAAGTATCTTTGTAGAATGTTTACTCTGTGGTAATCTTTTACAAGATGATGTCAACACAATCATAACAATTATGGAAGAGAAGCTGTTAACAAATGCACTACCATTGTTTCCTTTACAGCATATTCTTCCAAGAACTTATTGTTTAAATAAAGGTATTTTTAATAATTATAAATATATTATATATATTATATATAGAAAGTAGATATGCACATCTATAATATGTTAGACATTCACAAGTTTTACATCTATAGGATCATACTTATGTGTTTTGGACCAGTTTCTGTTAGGCAAATTTTTTGTCTTAAATATAACTTAATAGGTTAATTAATAAAATGCCCATCTTGGAATTCTAAAAAGGTTGTCATCCAAGAAAGGAGGTTGTCATCCAAGAAAGGAGGGCTCCTATCCAAGGTTTACATTCTCCTACCCACACTCACAAATAAGTTGGGGGTTTATATTGGAATTTTTTTTCTTAGCTAATATGTCTTCATCATAGCTAAAAAGCTTTATCTGCCCTAATATAAGATTAGTTTAATATCATGACCAGGATATTCAAATTACTAGCATTCTATTTTGTTTTTTTAATAATTTTTAAAAACAGTTATATACAAATAACAAACAATTAAATAGTATATAATAATATTTCATAATAACGAAGAAATATAATTTTTATTATTTTTATAAATTTAAGAATATATAAATTTTATCAGTTCTTCCAAACTATTTATTCAGGTATAAATTATTTATTTGAGAAGCGCAGCAAGCTACATATAACTTCTTGTGTTTATACACTTGTACAAGTAGGTTTATTTATATAATTTTTACTTTCTAATAATAACTGTTTACCTTTTTTTTTTTTTAACTGTTTATTGTTTTCTTTTAATTAGGTTGGAATTCAAGAAACAAAAGTTAATGTGCTTTGTGAAATTATTACTTCTATGTTGCATGAGCCATTTTATAATCAACTCAGAACAAAAGAACAGCTAGGTATTTTTTGGATTTATATTTATTGATTTTTTGCTTGCATTTTTGATTTGAAAATAGTTAATAGATATACGTATTTTTCAGGCTACATTGTACATTGTGGAATTAGGAATTCGATATCAACAAAGGTTTGCACATATATATATATATATATATATATATATATATATATATATATATATATATATATATATATATATATATATATATATATATATATATATATATATATATATATATATATATATAACCCTCAGAATTAGGGTCAGCATTCGGACACTGCCAACCTGAAAGTGTTTGAGGTCAGTAAAAAATTGCAGTCCTTGTTTCTATGTTTTATGGTCAGACCTTTGTATCAAATAATTTTTGCCAACCTGATGCCAACCTCGAAAAGATTGAGGTCGGCAAATTATTTCCGACCTCATTTTTCCTAATTCCGAGGGTTGTATATATATACATATGTATGTATATATATACATACATATATATATATATATATATATATATATATATATATATATACATATATATATATATATATATACATATATATATATATATATATATATATATATATATATATATGTATATGTATATGTATATGTATATATATATATATATGTATATATATTTATATACATATATATATATATATATACATATATATATATATATATATTATATATATATATATATATATATATATATATATACATATATATATATATATATATATATATATATATATATATATATATATATATATATATATATATATATATATATATATATATATATATATATATATATATATATATATATTCTATAGTGTATATAAATAATATTTTTCTAGCATTTTTTGCTTACTTTTTTCCATATAATTTTTTTGGAACAAAAATAGAGTAATGAAAAAAGCCAAAGTTTTTAAATTTTTTTTCCAAAAAAAACCTCTTCCTTATTTGATCTAGACTTAAACTCAAAATCCATTAGTTGATTAGATTGCTACCCAACCCCCAAGCCCCTTAGTTGTTGTAGTAGTGGCACTCCTTTGCATGTTTTGCCAGATAGTCAGTTGTAGTCAGTTAAGTTTTAGTTGATGGAACCAGAGATGTAATCAAGACAGTGAAGTACAAGACCAAGATATTATGATTCAAGACCAAGACCAGTTAAAAAAAAAAAGTTCACTTGACTTTGAAAGTTTTTACAAAACTAAGAAAAATACTTGGTTTCATAAAAGTTTAACTCAAACAACTTATACTCATCTTCGTATGTATGCTATCAGGCTTTTAGCTGATGTATCTTTCTAACATTACTTTTTAATAAAATGTAATTATACATGTATAGTATAACTATGTTATTGCAAATTGTGCAGTGCATTTTTTGCACTGCACAATTTGATAAAAAATACCTTTACAAAAGATATTTTTAATAATAACAAAAGACTAACAGGTTTCTTCTATTTTTTAAAACCAAATGTACCTATAGTAGCCACAAAATACAAAACAAGTTACAAAAAATAGAAGAAAAAAAGTTTAATGTAAAGTTTACATATTCTATTTTAATGCAAAAAGTAAAACAGACAACTTTGTATCACTTGATTTTATAACTTATATAACACATTAATGCTGGTAGAAAAAATTAATAATAAATTACTTATCAATCCATTGCATTGTTAGTTTTTGTAGAGATTAAGAAAGTGTAACACAGTAAAGGTCCAAGACCAAAACCATTACTCCAGGTAATCAAGACCTAGATTCCAAGTTTTAAGATAAAGAAAGTTAAAAATGAGTTATGAGACCAAGACTTAAGTTTTGAGAAATTTCTGGATGGAGCTAGAGATGAGTTTGATTTTGAGCTACATCCATAGTAGTATTTGTATAAATTATAAAGAGGTGCAACCTTCAACGATGGGAGATTAATGTAGGTAAAAAAAAAGACCAAGGATAGAACCTTGAAGTACCCCAAAAGTTACTGGAAATGAAGAAGAGAGTTGGCCTTCGAGGATGACTTTAATAAAGCGGTTAGAAAAAAATGGTTTAATAATTTCAAAAACTTCCCCAGATATACTATAAGTAGTAAGCTTATGGAGAAAACCAGCATACTAAACTATAAGTAGTAAGCTTATGGAGAAAACCAGCATACTAAACTTTATCAAAAGCTTTACATATATATTATGTCAGATATTTAATTTTTTCTGTGCTCCAATCACCCAAAAATTTGCATAGGGAGATCAAATGAGCATTTATATTCATTCTGATTGTCTACTGTAAACAGTTAAAGAAAATCTAAGAAAAGGAATTGTGATATTAGGTTGTTTTTCTGCATAGGAAAGTTGCATAAGCATGAAAGATTGCATAGGATCGGACTAGTCATGGGTAGGAAAGGCTATTCCTAACCATGCATTTATTTTTTTTGCTACAACTTAACCACAGCTTTTTAGATTTTTGAAAACTTTTAAAAACGTACTGAATAAAGTTTAAGGTACTAAAGAGAGAAATTGCTTTTAAGGGTTGTATACTATAAAAGACATTTAAATTATCAAAAGACAAAAAGTTAAAAAGTGTGTTTTTTACAATAAATATAAATATTTTTAAAACAATTTGTTTAAATAGTTTTATAAACAACAATGAAAACGATTGTTTTAATAAAATGTTTGATGAATCCATATGAAAAAGTTTCATAGTCAAAAGCATAACAAAGTTATTTTTTTATTATGCTATGTTAACTTTCTAATAAAATTTGTTTACACTAAGCTAATCGTTTTTAAATAGTTTTAAAACGCTATTAAATTATTTATCAAAGAGTATAAAAAAAAATTTTTTATTTATTTCAAAAGTATTATTTGTTTTAATAATGAATGTAATTTTTTTTTTTAAATTAGTATTCCTAATTTTATAAAAATGATGACAACGAATACGTTTCAATAAACTTTTTTTAAAATACTTTTTTATAATTTAAAGTTTTTGATAAAATGATAATTAGGTAAGTTTTTTTTTTTTAATTAAAATAGTTCGCCTAATATTATAAAAAAATTAGAAAAGATTAAAATTTTATAGTTTGTCGCATTTTGTATTAGGAAAATTAAAAAAAATCTTTTAATTTTTTTTAATGTTTAATTTTCATAAAAATTTTCATTTGAACATTGAAAAAAAAATGAAAAAAAAATATTTATTTGCTATTTTCTTAATATAATAAAAAATCAGTTAGAAACTTGTCAAAGCAACAGTTGTCAAAGCAACACAACAAGTTATTCAACCTTAACGTAATTACAAAACATTAAAAAATAATTTTCTATCAGAGTTTTAGTTTTCCAGATTTTGTTGATTTTTTTTTTTAGATTTATAGGTTTTAATTTTTTTTTTTTTTTTTTTTCATTAAGATTTCTTTCTTTTTTATATAGCGTGTTAATAATTTTTTTCCTTTGTTGGTTTTAGTTGCGTTTTTAATTATCAAAAGAGCTGTGGTCAAGCTTGGTCAGCTTGTAGCCGTGGTCATAAAAACAATTACATGCGTGGTTAAGATTGGAGTGCAATCACATTCCTTTCCTGTCCACAACTGGGGTCAGCAGTGAAATTAAAATAATATCAACAAATATATGAAAAGTTACAAGAATCTATACTATTAACCTCAAAAGAGTTAAATAATGATGAAATAGTTTTTCAGCAGAATAATGTCCCATGCCATAAATACTGTGCCATAAAATTTATGTCAGGATTTATGGCATGGACTTAAAAGCATTTTAAGTTTAAGTAAAAAATAATGTTCCCTTTTTTTAAATTTGAAATGTATATAATCTCATAGAAAATTTATGGAGTTACAGTAGTGGCCATTGAATTAAGGCACCTTACAGTTTTTTGGATAAATTTAGTATAACTTTGAATGTGCCTCTTAAATATGCAAAGTATTATATGTCAATGTCATTAAATGAATCAAATTAAAATTTTTCACATATCTTTGTTTAAAAGACATCATCAAAGCTTATTAAAGTTCTTTTTTTAAAGTAAATAGTAAATAAATTAAATAAAGTAAAAATATGGGTAAAAAGGCAGATTTGAGTGGTTTTGTTAAAGTTCAAGTCATAACTTTGCATGGTGAAGGGTACTCACAAGTTGTCATTAGTAAACGCTGTACAAAATGTTATAAAATTGCATGGTAGTTCTAGACGTCAAAATTGCCATGGCAATCGCAAAACTACACCCTGTGATGATCTATACCTGAAAAGTATTGTGCAAGCCAGTCCTCACACTTCCTCTGAAAGAGGCATTAATATTAGTGCCAGAAGTGTTCCCAGACGTCTGTCTACAGAATTTAAACTGCATGCGCATAGACCAGCAAAGAAGCCATTTCTCACCAAGAAGCAGCTTCAGGCGCTTGTGAAATTCTGTTGTGATATGAAGGACAAAACTGCTGAGTGGTGGACTACTGTAATGTTACTTTCCAGCAGCTTCGTGGTTAAGGGTACAATTTTGTTCGTCGACCGGTAGGTGAAAGACTCAACCCTAAATACACTCTGAAGACTGTTAAACATCCGCCACCTGTTATGGTGTGGGGAGCTATCTCAGCTAATGGTAGATGAGGAATCCACATCTTCGGTAAGAGCGAAAAGGTATATGCTGCAAAGTATATTACAGGATTTAGAGTCAAAGGTTAAGACACATATGAACATTTTTGAAACTACAATCTTTCAACAAGACTCAGCACAGTGTCATACTGCAAAATCAATCAAGAAGTGGTTTCATGACAACAATGTGCAACTTTTGACAAACTGGCCCTCAAATTCACCTGATTTGAACGTTATTGAAAATTGTTGGAACTTAATGAGGCTTAAGTGTCAGCACATCGTCCAATGTCAGAAGAACATTTAAAAGATGTATTGAAGCAGGTGTGGGTAAATGAAATTACCCCAGAGTACTGTGACAAGCTTGTAAAAAGTATGCCTTCTCTATACAGGCTGAATTGAAAAATTTTTTGAGACTTTTTGTTGATGAATTTTAAAAGTAATGCTACCAGATATTTTTTAGAACATTTTATAATACTAATAGTACATATAATACAAATTCATGAAAGAGAAACTGGATTTGCTTAATTAAAACTGCAATTCTGCTTGGTGCCTTAATTCAATGGCCACTACTGTATGTTGATAAGGAGGCAATAAGTCCATAAAAGACATTTTTCAAATTTGGAAGATTTATGGGTAGCTATCCAAGAATTATGGGCTTCCATTTCAGATAGAATTGTAAGAAATATGATTGGTTCAATGTCATAAAAATTGAATGAAGTAAAAAAAAATGGTTTTTTTTTACCATATTATATATATATATATATGTATGTATATATATATATATATATATATATATATATATATATATATATATATATATATATATATATATATATATATATATATATATATATATATATATATATATATATATAGTATATATATATATATATATATATATATATATATATATATATATATATATATATATATATATATAATTTCAAGTGATTCTCTCACTTTGCATCATACTCTGATTTTATTGCTAGAGTTTTTTGGATGTGACCTGCGATGTTGCTAGAGTTTTAGGTTTTAGAGTTTTGACCAATCAAACATACCATATATTCTTTATCATGTTCGGTTGCCCCAGATGCATCCCATTTTTTTTTTTTTTTTATTATTATAATTCACCTCCTCAAGGCCGAGAAGGCCACTACAGATGAGGAGGCTACTTATTTGTGGCTATAACCCTCTCTCAACTCTATAACTCCGAAACACGAACCTTGACGAACAAGGCCGCTGCGCGGAGAAACGAGTTGAGCGCGGTACTACCAGGAACGTGGTGGGGATCGAACTCGGAACCACTCGTTTATGAAGCGAGCGCTCTACCACTACACCACTACCGCATATAACATGATTACTACAAACTCTATTTCATCATAGATACTTTGTGATAAAGTAAAAGATAAGATACTTTGTGGAACAAATTTTAATGGCACAAAGTACAAAATTTTTAAAAACAACCATAACTATTTTTGGATTAACATTTGATGCTGGTTTTATATGTATATTAGTGATAGCCAACTTTTGGTGGATTTTGAAGTCATAGAGTTATTAGTTTTGGTTATATCTAAGAAGATTAATTCTTTTTTATTGTTTTCTTTTTCTGATATATATTTTATTGCTTTTTAATAATTCCAGAAACTTATCATTTACATTTTAAATAGTTCTTTTGATGTTCAATGAGTTTCGTTAAAGTTTTTTTTTTTTTGCCAATGTATATACCACCACAAGAGCATGTGAGTTTGTAGATACCAGGATTGCTATTGAGAATTAATTTTGACTGGTTGTTGCATAATATGTTTTTATTACATAGGTGGTGTATTAAAAATGATTCTGTAATGAAATGTTGTAAGGTTTAATTTTTTTCCAGACTTGGGAGCCATAGAATCCTAACTGTATATTTACTTGTTTTTGTTTTATTATAATTTATATTAGAAAAGTTGTTTCTTTTCTGAATATAGTTCTTGGTAGCTGTTTCTAGCTAATCTATCGTGTCCATTTTCTGCAAACATGATTACTACAAACTCTATTTCATCATAGATACTTTGTGATAAAGTAAAAGATAAGGTACTTTGTGGAACAAATTTTAATGGCACAAAGTACAAAATCTTTAAAAACAACCATAACTATTTTTGGATTAACATTTGATGCTGGTTTTATATGTATATTAGTGATAGCCAACTTTTGGTGGATTTTGAAGTCATAGAGTTATTAGTTTTGGTTATATCTAAGAAGATTAATTCTTTTTTATTGTTTTCTTTTTCTGATATATATTTTATTGCTTTTTAATAATTCCAGAAACTTATCATGATCTTGTATTAAGTTGAACCTCATCTATGTCATCTATGTACCTTCTGTAAGTCTTCGGTGAAAATTGACCGACCTCAGCAAAAATAAGAGCTTTTCTTTATAACATATATATATGAGTGTGTGTGTGTGTTTATATATGTATATATATATATATATATATATATATATATATATATATATATATATATATATATATATATATATATATATATATATATATATATATATATATATATATATATATATATATATATATATATATATATATATATATATATATATATATATATATATATATATATACAAATAGTATTGTGTACTAAGGTAAGCAATCTGACGTCATTCTTAAATAGCCTGCTGCCGGGGGCTTCAGTACATACATTGACCAAATGCTTTTAAAAAATACGTTTTAGTAAGTGTATATATATATATATGTATATACATATGTAAATATATACATACATACATACATAAATATATACATACGTACATACATACATACATACATACATACATACATACATACATACATACATACATACATACATACATACATACATACATACATACATACATACATACATACATACATACATACATACATACATACATACACATATTGAATAAAAATGAGTATATATTTTTGGAGACTTACTAAACAAAAAAAAAAACGCAGAATTTTTTTCTTGAAATGTTTAGTAAGTTTCCATTTATATTTTTAAATGAGTTAGAGAGAAAGTTAGAGATTTTTGATTTTTTGTAGTTTTCAAGAAAAAGTTCATCATGGTTCATTGATCAGTCTTAAGCTTTTTATTATCGCTTTGGAAGCAAAAGCATTGTATAGTCAAAAATGAGCTGTAAAAATTATTTATTGGTGTAACCTTAAGGATTTTAAATAAATAAACCTAGGGGTTCAAAGTAGGTTTGAAGATAAGTAGGAAACTTAATGGTTCAAAAATAAGTAAATTCATTTTTGGAAGCCTGAAGTAATAAGACTCCTAATATCCTTCTTTTTTTTTCCTTATGAACTTTTAATATTCCTAAATATTTTTAGAAATTTTTGTTGTTGAAATACAAAAATATATATTGAGTGAAGTGAGTGAAGGTACAAGTAAATCTTTTTATGTAAACTCAGGAGCTTTGTGAGACTTTTATGAGAATCCCAGTTTATGCATCTTTTATTTGTTTTATAAAGTATTATTTGAATATGCTGTTTTTTATGTGGTTCTATATACTGATATTATTTTGCAAATTGAATTCAAATTTAGGGAATTTATTTATTGGTGCAATCAGACAAGCAACCATCATATGTTGAAAAAAGAATTGGAATTTTTCTGAATGATTTTGAGGTAATCTATTGTTTTAAAAACAAGTTTCTTAACAAGAATTCACAGCAAACCTTGAAAGTCAAAAAAATATGGAAATATTTTCCATAATTTTTGTTTTAATTAAGGAAAATTTAGAAAATGGAACTTTATATATGTCGCAGAAAAAAAATTAACAAAAATGAATAATTAAAAAAGAAGGCCAACAGCTTTATTATTTGAAACTGAAAAGTTGTCAGTTCATTTAATTCAATGTTTTAGCGATTGGAGTTAAGGTTTAATGCAAGCTGATATAATTTTTATTGTTCAACACTATTTGAAAAATACAAAGCAAAGCTTTGTTACAGTGGTATGATTTTAAAGAGAGAAAAAAATATAGGATTATGCAAAGCAGATAACATTGCATCAAGCAGAGCATCATCTTGCATTTCAAATATAATTGAAAATTATTGTAACAATTACAAGAAACAATATGATCAAATCAAAATTGATCACTTAAAATATTTAGAACAGGGATGAGTGTGGTTTTAGTGGTGACCAAGTAGAAATAAAAAACACTCTTAAACTTGCAGAAAGAAAAAAAACAAATTAATTATACTGTAAACATCTTTGTTGATGCATCAGGCTTCTACTTCTACTTTTTGTTTATAGATTAAAAAGATATTTGTATCAATCATGATGCAACAATCTATCAATCGTGATGCAACAATGTATTGATTATGATCCAATTTTAGTCCAATCTGCACAGTATATACAAAGTCAGATTTGGGATGAATTGAGAAATCACTAATTAAATCTAAATTTAAATCATAAGCTTTTTGAGTTTTTAATTAACTAACGCTTTATCTGTCATCTGATAAAATATGGATCTTCTTGTTCTACTGCTGATTTGTTAACAGTAATAACTGATAGGTTTTATTATGCTTTTAGGTAGATGTAGAGAAATTAGGCTATCGCTCTTAATAATCGCTTTTGATAAGGTTTGACTTGTTTTTTGCATAAGCTCTCATCTTACAGTGTATTAGGTAACGCCTCTAAGATTATTGAATCCTTCCTTACCAATCATAGTATAAAAGGTCTCCTAGATGGACAACACTCTTCTTCATTTCTTGTAACTTCAGGGGTTCCTTAATGTTCTATCCTTAGTCATATACTTTTTTTAGCTTATACTAACCATCTCTGATACTACCATAATTCTTATCCTGATAAAAAGCCAACATTCTCTGATTACTTGAAGAGGGCATCTGAGCTTAAAAAGAATCTCACTTCTACAGCATGGGGCTCTCAGTGGCTGGTGAACTTTAACTCAGATAAAACTAAATTTTTTTTTTAGGTAGTTGTTATCACTACCGTCTAGATCTTTCTATATTTATGAATGGTAATGCACTCGATGAGGCATCTACCCTTAGTCTTCTAGGATTAACTCATACTTTCAATCTTTCTTGGAAACCATTTATCAAATCCATTGCAAAATTAGCACTTGCTAAGGTTGCATCTCTTTATAATGCTTGCCGCTTTCCTTCTTCGGATTCTATTCTTTATCTCTATAAATCTCAAATTTTTCTTTGTATGGAATACTGTTGCCATATCTGAAGCCAATCTTCGAATGATGTCTTTTTTTTTTAGGCAAGCTACAAAAATGGATTGTAAACATTGTTGGACCTGCTCTAGCACCCAACCTTCAACCATTGTTGTAATGTTACTTCTCTTTTTTCTAAAAGTACTATAATGGGCGCTGCTCTAAAGAGCTAGCAACTCTTGTGTCATATACTATAAATCATCCTTGTGCTACTGGTCATTCAATTAAGTCTCATCCTTTTACTATGATAGTTCCTAAGTATTCCAAAAATTCTTATTTGTCAATTTTTTTTCCTTGAACATCTGTTCTTTGAAATTCGTTCTCTTCATCTAATTTTCCTGATTCATATAATTTGAAATCTTTTAAGTCATCAGTTAATTGTTATCTTGCTTTAAACTAAACTTTAAACTGCTTTAAACTTGCTTTAAACTAAACTTTAAACTGCTTTAAACTTGCTTTAAACTAAACTTTAAACTGCTTAAACTTGCTTTAAACTAAACTTTAAACTGCTTAAACTTGCTTTAAACTAAACTTTAAACTTTAAACTTGCTTTAAACTTCATCTTTACTCTTCCAAAAGTTTCCAACTCTAACTGTGGTTGCTTGCAGTCTTGTTTGAAAAAAAGATGTTTAAAAAAAAAATGCTGCTAACATCATGTTTTAAACTGCATTTTAAGTTATGTCATAGATGAAACCTTTGGAGGAGGTGTGTTGACTTAAATAAATTATTTAGTATTGATATCTCTCTGGTCATTGTGTATGATTTGTCGATACTATTGCAATGAAATGTGATTCTCTAAAGACAAAATTTGTGCAGAGCCTGATAAGATTGACACTCCCTTTTAGTTACATGGAGAGATGACAAGTTGATTCTTTTGAAACTGCGATATCTCTTTTCCTCGACAGTGTAAAATAAGAATAATGTATATTTAAGATTTACAAAGCCAAAATATTTGAAATTTACAGTTAATTTATTTAGTTATTTAGTCAAAATATTTTCGATTTGACAAGAAGATTTAATTTAAGATAAATTCTTTGACATGCTCTTCACTAACTATAATTATAAATAAATAAGCAAATTATATTTTAAACTGCATTTTTAAACTAAAATTTTAAAAGCAATATTCAAAGGATACATACACAGAGCATACTCAATATGCAGCGAAAACCATTTAAAAGATGAGATAAATTTTATAATTCAAGTGTTTACTGAAAATGGATACAATGAAAAAATGCTTTTGCTTGAATGCTTGAAAAGATATTTCTAATCAGGTTCAAAAAAATGGTTTTGTGAACAAAAATTTTTGCCTATAATCCGTCGATTAGAAATTTTCGCCTATAATCCGGCAAAAATTTTAAATAAATTATTTAGTATTGAGAGAATTTGTATTATCTGATGTTTTAAATTAGTTTGTATATATATATATTTACTCTCGTACAAGATGTCAACATTTAATTCATATATATATATATACATATCTACGATATATATATCATATATCTACAATATATACATATATATATATATATATATATATATATATATATATACATATATATATATATATATATATATATATATATATATATATATATATATATATATATATATATATATATATATATATATATATATATATATATATATATATATATATAAGGTTTCATCTATGACATTAGAATGCAGTTTAAAAACTTAAAATGCAGTTTAAAATATATAGTATCGACAAATCATACACAATGATTCATAGATGAGTTTTTTCCGGGAATTCCCGGAATTCTGGAAATTCACTTAAAACTCCTTTAATTTTCCAGAAATTTGCGGAAAATTGCGTTTTTTGTTATTAATTTGTTTAAAAAAGTTATATATTTTTACATAAAATTTTAAAAACAAAAATTTTTGCATTTCAACAAATATATTTTCTATAGTTAAAATTTTCACGAGATCAATTTTTGTAACAATTTTTTTTTTTTTGCTTTTTAATTAATTCAAATTAATTTTTTCGAATATTAGAAATTCCTTTTTGTAAAAAGTTAAGTTATTTAAAATTAAAAAGTTAATTTCGTTTTAAAAGTTTTTGTTTTAATACACTAGTGAAAAAGCGCACGTGGGATATGCATGGCTTTTTTCCTTATGTAACCCATGTGGGGATTATTATTTTGTCCCATGTGGGTTCCATATGATAAATCCCACATGGGTTCCATATGGTAATTACCACATAGGATTCGCGTGGGCTTTTTCCATATGTAACCCATGTGGGGATTATTATTTTGTCCAATGTGTTTTGTTTTTTTGTTTTAGTTTTTACATTCATGTTTCCATTGTTCGTTTGGATTGTTCTCCATAGCGACATATAAATGCCGTTATGAAAGAGTTAAAGCAATCTTTTACAACCGTACGCCCTTCCTGACGTTAACATGCAGCAAGTTGTACTAGAAGAATAACTTGATTTGACGGTCAGCGTATCTGGGTTATATATGGTAAACCCCACACGGGTTATAGGTTGAAAATACCACATGTTTTATAGATTTAAATGCCACATATTCTAATTCAAATGCTATAAAAGTAGCGAATACCATTTAAATGAAACATCTAAATTAATCATGGAAGCTTTCAGAGAGGCTTAAATTTATCTGGTATTAGCTACTTTATGCTATTTAGGATCAAATATATGCGATGTTCTCCCCAAATAATGTGGGATTTACCATAAAGTATTATAACAAAATTCTACAAAATTAAAAAACGTGTTGCAAAATGAATTTATATTTAAATAATAGCTATTAATAAATACATTAAAAATAAATGTGAAAAATATTATTTGTTCTTTTGTGATTTACACGCCTTTTGTTGATTCAAGTAATAAAGTAAATCGCCTTGGCTCGCTCAATGCTAAGGCTTTTACCATATTAAGAAAAACTACTTTCTTCATGCATTTCCTAAAAAATATATATACATATACAAATATAACTATAAATAAATTTGAATAAAAGCAAACATCAATTATAACCTAAATCAACCTAAATTATATGGTTATTATAGATTAAAATAAGAAGAAGAACAATCGTAATTAAAAGCCTTATTAGTTAAGAGCAGTTTTAATTAAGAGCCAAATTGAAGTCATTAATGACTTCAACTTGGACTTTATTTCACACATAATTAGTTCTTAATTTATTACTTACGATGACTAATGTATTATGGATAATTTGACAAGAACTTGTATCCATTTATGAGAATATAATTTGAGAAAAAGTGCTCAATTAGAAAAAGTCATTAAACAAAAAAATAAAAATTAAAACATGTAAGGACCTACTTTACAATAATGTTCACATTAAGTGCAATAGACATTCAATGCAATAGTATCTTTACTTTTTCGTCACAAATATTATAATATTTTGAAACCAATCAACAAACATCTAAATTTATATATATATATATATATATATAT